GTCGAGGCGCGGGCGGCCCGCCGCCCTTGCTGCCCGCCAGCGGGCTATGGAGAAAGACCTGTCGGACCAAGGCAGTGATGCCGGCGATGCTAAAGCGGCCGGCAGTGCGCGCACCTCGGAACAGGGCGCCTCCGGCCAATTTCTCTCGGCCCTCGACAACGTCACGAGGTCCGTCACCGCGCCGGGCACAAACTGTTACTTTGTTTTCTGCCTCAAGCCCAACGACAGGCGCATCGCGAACCAATTCGACAGCAAGTGCGTGCGCGCACAGCTGCAGACTTTCGGCATCGCCGAGATCAGCCAGCGCCTGCGGTCCGCCGACTTCAGCTTGTTCCTGCCGTTTGGTGAATTCCTGGGGCTGGCGGATGCCGAGACCATGCTCGTGGGCAGCGAGCGCGAGAAGGTGGAGATGGTGGTCGAGGAGAAGCGCTGGCCCGGCAACGAGGTCGCCATCGGCGCCACGGGCGTCTTCCTCAGCGAGCGCTGCTGGATGGAAATCGCACACCTGGGCGATAACTTCTCGCAGTCCGGCCGGTACGGGCTCCCGTCAGACGCCGGGGACGGCACGAGCACCCCCGCGGATCCGTTCGGCGTGTCCAAGGAGCGCCTGCTCATGTCCGGCGGGCCCATCCCGGCCAGCTTTTCGGCCGAGAAGAAGGCCGGCTACTTCGGCAGCAACGACGTGGACACCCGTTCCGAGGCGGGCGCCTCGGCCTTCGGAGGCGGCGACATGTTCAAGAACCTGGACACGCGCGAGCAGATGGCCGAGCGTGGCAACGAGAAGGAGCTGGAAGAGATGGAGGAGTACAAGGACAGCCCCAGCCGCAAGCGCTGGGTCTTCATCGTGCACCTGCTGACCTTCTTCGTCCCCGATTTCCTCATCCGGTGGATGGGCCGCATGGCGCGCAAGGATGTGCGGATGGCATGGCGCGAGAAGCTGGCCATCAACATGATCATCTGGTTCAGCTGTTTGTTCGCTGCCTTCTTCATGGTCGTCTTCCCGCTGTTGATCTGCCCGCGCCAGTACGTCTACAGCCCGGAGGAAATGTCAAAATACGACGGAAAGAACGGCAACAGCGCCTACGCCTCGATCCGCGGCCAGATCTTCGACATCGGCGCTTTCACGCCCCGCCACTACCCCAGGTACTTGTCGCAGAAGCTGCTGACCCAGTACGGTGGCATGGACATCACCTCGCTCTTCCCCGTGCAGGTGTCGGCGCTCTGCCAGGGCCGCTATGGCAGCATCGATCCGGCCGTTCTGCTCGACTACAAGTCTACCAACATCACTGGTTCGGCGGCCGTTATCAGCAGCCAAGACTTGAACTCCAAGTATCACGACTTCCGCCACTTCACCAACGAGAGCCGGCCCGATTGGTTCTCGCAGAAGATGAAGTACCTGAGAGCCAACTACAAGGTCGGCAACATCGGCTACTCGGCCGAGTACGTGCGGACGCTCAGCACGTCCAAGCAGCAGGTCATTGCCATCCTCAACAACCGCATCTACGACATGACCACATACACCCAGAACGGCCGGCGGCAGCAGAACCCGCCAGGGCAGCCACCCCCGACGGACCCGGACGCGGTCAATTTCATGCATCCGCTCGTGGTCGACCTCTTCCAGCAGAGATCTGGTGACGATATTACGGCGCTCTGGGAGTCACTCGGCATCGACAAGGCCCAGAAGAAGGCGATGCAACTGTGCCTCGATAATCTCTTCTACGTCGCCGACCTCGACACGCGTTCATCTGCTAGGTGCAAGTTCGCAGAGTACCTGCTCCTGGCTGTGTCTATCCTTCTGGCCTCCGTCATCGGCTTCAAGTTCTTGGCCGCCCTCCAGTTCGGCACCAAGAACATACCCGAGAATCTGGACAAGTTCGTCATGTGCCAAATCCCGGCCTACACGGAAGACGAGGATTCCATCCGCCGTGCCGTCGACTCTGCGGCGCGCATGCGCTACGATGACAAGCGCAAGCTTTTGGTTATCATCTGCGACGGTATGATTATCGGCCAAGGCAACGACCGGCCCACGCCGCGCATCGTGCTCGACATTCTAGGCGTGTCCGAGGCCGTCGATCCAGAGCCCCTGAGCTTCGAGTCGCTCGGTGAAGGCCAGAAGCAGCACAACATGGGCAAGGTGTACTCGGGTCTGTACGAGGTACAAGGCCACATTGTGCCCTTCCTCGTCGTGGTCAAGGTCGGCAAGCCGTCCGAGGTGTCTCGCCCCGGCAACCGTGGCAAGCGTGACTCGCAGATGATCCTGATGCGCTTCCTCAACCGGGTGCATTACAACCTCGCCATGAGCCCGCTCGAGCTCGAGATGTACCACCAGATCCGCAACATCATCGGCGTCAACCCGACCTTTTACGAATACCTGTTCCAGATCGACGCCGACACGGTCGTTGCTCCCGATTCGGCCACGCGCATGGTGTCGGCCTTCCTCGACGATACCCGCCTGATCGCTGTATGCGGCGAGACGGCCCTGAGCAACGCCAAGTCGTCCTTTGTTACCATGATCCAGGTGTACGAGTACTACATCTCGCACAACCTGTCCAAAGCCTTCGAGTCGCTCTTCGGTTCTGTCACCTGCTTGCCCGGCTGTTTCTCCATGTACCGCATCCGCGCTGCCGAGACGGGCAAGCCGCTCTTTGTCAGCCGCGAGGTTGTCGAGGCGTACTCGACCATCCGCGTCGACACGCTGCACATGAAGAACCTGCTGCACCTAGGTGAAGATCGCTATCTCACTACGCTGCTGCTCAAGTTCCACAACAAGTACAAGACCAAGTACATCTTCCGCGCGCATGCTTGGACCATCGCTCCGGACTCGTGGCAGGTGTTCCTCTCGCAGCGCCGCCGCTGGATCAACTCGACGGTGCACAACCTGATGGAACTCATCCCCTTGAACCAGCTGTGCGGGTTCTGCTGCTTCAGCATGCGCTTCATCGTCCTCATCGATCTCATGTCCACCATCGTTCAGCCCGTGCTGTTGGGCTACATCGTCTATCTCATCGTTATGGTCGTGCAGAAGGCGACTGTCGTGCCTATCACGGCCTTCATCCTCCTCGGCGTCATCTACGGTCTGCAGGCCATCATCTTCATCCTGCGCCGCAAGTGGGAGATGATCGGGTGGATGATCCTGTACGTGCTGGCGATCCCCGTCTTCACCTTTGCCCTGCCGCTGTACTCGTTCTGGCACATGGACGACTTCAACTGGGGCAACACGCGTGTCGTGGCCGGCGAGAAGGGCAAGAAGGTGGTCATCTCGGACGAGGGCAAGTTCGACCCGGCCTCCATCCCGCGCAAGAAGTGGGAGGAGTACCAAGCCGAGCTGTGGGAGGCCCAGACCCAGGCCGCCGGCCTGCACGACGACGCCCGCTCCGAGATCTCGGGCTACTCGTACGCCACCCGCCCCAACATGCCCATGTCCGAGTACGGCGGTTACACGCCCAGCCGGCCCGGGTCCACCACGGGGTACCCGGCCATGCCGTCGGCGCCGAGCCGCATGTCGCTGGCCGCGTCCGAGATGCTCGGCCACAACAACAACCGGCAGAGCCAGTTTGGCGGGTCGCAGTTCCTGGGCGCGTCGCAGTCGCAGCAGGAGCTGGAGATGGCGAACCTCGCGGGCATGCCCAGCGACGACGCGCTGCTGGCGGAGATTAGGGAGATCCTGCGCACGGCCGACCTCATGACGGTGACCAAGAAGGGCGTCAAGCTCGAGTTGGAGAGGCGCTTTGGCGTGCCGCTCGACTCGAGGAGGGCGTATATCAATAGCGGTGAGTTCTGCCCCCCTCTAATGGTTTCAAGGCTGATAGGTGACTGACGTTTGATGATGACAGCAACCGAAGCGATTCTTTCTGGACAGCTGTAGTAGACTGCATGGGTTTTTCGGTATTATTATTATTATTAGTTGTTGGCTTGGGGGGGTTTGGGCTATTTCCTTGTTTGTTTGGATTTTCTGGTTTTTTTTTGTTCCCGGTTTCCGGTTTGGTTCCCGGGCCGGTGGCTGCGGCAGCAGCAGCAGCAGCAGCAGCGATCTGGTTTTTCGCTTGGATCCGAGGACTACCTACCTCCCTACCTACCTACCTACCTACCTACCTACCTCCTAGCTTGGTTTTTTGAGTTTGGACGACTAATATAATGCTTGCATTGTTCTGCTGGAGGGTGTTTTTTCGTTGACTTTGGAGCTTGCGCGGGGGGTGTGTTGAAAAGTCAGAAGTGGATTGTGGTCGTTGTTTTTCGTTTTGTGGTTGTTGTGACGGCCATGAGACATGTCGAGGTTTTGTATGTGTGGTTTTGTCGGTCGGCCTGTTTGTATATCGGCCTAACGTTATCGGTCTGTCTATTTTGTCACAGTCCGTTGTTGTCCGATCGGTCGGTCTGTCTATCGGTCTATTGTCCTATCAGTCTCTTGCCCTGTTGTCCTGTCTGTCCGTCTGTCCGTCTGTCTATTGGGATGAAAATGGGGCTTTTGTAAGGATGGTTGTCCGTTTCGGGGGTCAAGTTTACTTGGGTAATAATTGAATGGACAGATATTATGATGATGTGTTTGATGCCATGTAATGTGTTTGCTATATAGACATGCGTGCGTTGCAGGCTGGTGATAGGGGAAGGTAAGTTGAGGTGAGTCGGGCTGCGTGAGGCAAGTCTGCTGTTCTGATATCCGTGGCTGTGGATGGGTGTCTCTGTCCCTACGAGTTCGGGGCTCTCACTTTCCTTTCCTCCTGCTCCTCTCTTCTTTGCTCATCCTATACAGCAAGTAACGTTACTCCTGAACAACTACGTGCTTCTATCCTGAGATATAGGGCGAAATATAGGTCAGAGAAACAAAAGATTTAGACAGTGATTCTTCCACTAGGCGTATGAGAGACACTATAGTTTCTCAACTAGTTACTAACTTCTTTCCCCGGCTAGTCCACCCTCGTCCGAAAGCAAAATAAAAAGGAAAGGAAGACAGGAGATTTAAAAAATACCTAATGGAAGAAAGAGGCAGGAGCAAAAGTGTATGACAACTGTGAGATTCGAACTCACGCCCTTTCGGACCACGGATTCTGATTAAGGGTTGAACTCCTTAACGTGGCGCCTTAGACCGCTCGGCCAAGTTGCCTTTTGATTGGATGTTGGTTGGGGTACGAATCCCAGGCTGTGAGAGGACTGCGGTGGAGAAGTGTCAACGCCGCCCCTATTCCCACATTGTGTTACTTTGGAACTTGCTTCCTTAATTATCTTCACAATTGCAGGAAATCTCAAATCACCGTTCATATTTCTTGCTCTCATTCCCAAGTTGCACGTCTGCTTTTTTCATCATTCGCAACTCCCTATGGCCTACGCTGATAGATAGATGTCCGGTATTGTACCCCTTACTTCCTCCTCCATCCCCCTCTTTCCTCTAGGCTCTCTCTCCATATCTACCTTACTTCCTCGCAGCAGCAGCAGCCACCGCCGCAACCTCCTCGCCCAGCGGCAGGATATCCGGCACGGGCCCGACGGGGGTGATGGACAGCGGGTTGATCTGGGTGTGGGAGCGCGTGTAGTGGTTCTTGATGTGCAAAAAGTTGGTCGTGTCGCGGAAGGCGGGCAGCGTCCAGTACAGGTGGCGCATCCAGTCGTGCACGGCCGGGTAGCCGGAGCGGATGTCGCGGAGGTTGCACTTGAAGTGCTGGACGTAGACGGGCTGTGAAACATACATGGGTTAGTTGGGGTATGGGGGGTGGAGGGGGGTTAATGGTGGGGGGGGACGTACGTCGAACCGGATGATGGTCACGAACCTGCCGGGGGTATCATCGTCAGCGCCGCTCATTTTTTATTTAGGGTGGTGACAGAAAACTCACAGCCGGATATCGACCTCGGTGATGGTCTGGCCGAACCAGTACGGCCCCTCGCCGGCCGTCTTGACCAGGTGCGCCTCGACGCGGTCCAGCGCCTCAAACAGCGCGAGCACGTTGCGCTCGTAGGCGTCCTGCTTCGTGGCGAAGCCCGACTTGTACACGCCGTTGTTGATCTTGTCGTACTGCCACTCGTGCGCCTCGTCGATCTGCGTGCGGAGAGCCTCCGGGTAGAACTCGATCTGGCGGTACTGCTCGTCGATGAGGTCGTTGAACTGCGGATGGTCAGTGACTAGCTCGTCTGACTCAAAATAAAGAGGGCACCGGCTGAACCGACCTCGGTCCCAAACATGCGCAGGATCTCGCTGCTCTCGTTGTTGACAATGGTCTGCGTCTTGGTGTCGTACAGCACGGGCACGGTGAAGCGGCCCTCGTACGACGGGTTCACCGCGAAGTAGAGGTCGCGCAGGTGGGTGAAGCTCTCGTGGCCGGGGACGGGGTCGGGGATGACGTTCTCGCCGGCCGCGTCGGTGTCCTCTGCGGTCGGGAAGCGCCAGCCTGGATATGCGTTAACATCACATATCTACAGATATTGGGGACGACGGTGTTGCTTACCCTTCGGGCCCATGTGCCAGTGCACCGCCGAAAACGAAATGACGTCCTCGAGCCCCTTGAGCTTGCGCGCAATGAGCGTGCGGGTGGCCTATGCGTATGTTAACCCCTGAACCCCCTCCTAAGAAAAGAGGAAGGAGTATGTACTCACCCACGGACAGGCGTAGCTCACGTACAAGTGGTACCTGCCCTTCTCCGGCGGGAACTCGGCGCCGGGCTCGCGCGAGATCCAGCTGCGGAACGAGCTCTGCTGGCGCTTGAACTCGCCCGTCTTGTCGTTGGGAACGACCCAGTCGGTGATCTTGCCCGGGGTGGTGGCGCTGGGGGTGTCTTTGGTGGCCTGCGGGGAAATCCGTTAGTAATGATTCCAATGACACTCTCATCAGATGAACTGATGACGTCTCGTTGCCGGTAGGTAGGTAAACTCACCATGGTTGCGAGATGCCTGACTCCTTCAGTGTGTCTGGTCGTGAATAAATTCCGAGATGCAGCAGCACTCGATAGCGATCTAGCTGCCCGTGATGAAACCCCTGAAATGAAGTGCGATGATGGTTTCCCAAAAAGTGGCGAGAGGCTCTCAACAAGTGGGCGAGCACCCCTTTTAAAGTTCATGAGGAGTTGAGGGGTTGATGGAGTGGCCTAGCATCCGGCAACCGGATAGGTCTGTGTGCTGCAATGCAGTTATGTGGAATCGTCTGCAGCTCCTGAATGTATGTAATGTATCTATAAGTATATGGTAAGACCCTGCATCCGTTTCTAGCGGTCCTTCCATACATTACCACTGCTTAGACTTGCATTATTCACGACGGACCATCAGACGAACCTTTGTAAGCTCCCCTCTGCCTTCATCCATCGCGCTAATTCTATTGTGGCCTCGTTCACAGCGATCCGAGAAACTGACAAATAGTGACGTAACCTCAGGGCCCAGACGCCCAAGCACTCCACACTTTGGTGCATGGTGATGAGTAAGGGTCTGCTAACACGGGGCCTCGAGATGGAACCGCAATGGGTCTGACATGGAACCTCCAAATATTGCACAATCCAATATGCCGAGCAGGCTAGATAGGGCATGCGAGGGCGGCCATGATCGTTTGATGAAGCTCAAGTCGACCAGCCATCAGTCAAGACGCTACCCCCACTCAGTCAGTGAAGCCACGGAACAGCCAAGTATCACAAACACAAGGTCTATTCCTATCAGTGCCTAATAGCTAGCTGTGCATAACCGTGCATGTCCCGCACCATCGCAATCTACAGCCCCTATCCACCCCCCCATCTAACCTCTACCGTATCTTGGCCTTGATGTACGGCACCTCGACGTCCTCCCCGTCAGCATCCTCCGTGACCACCTCAAAGATGAGCTCCGTCTGGTGCGACGGGATCGGCTTCTTGGTGACCGACTCGACCAGCTCGCTCAGCTTCATGCCAAACTTGTCCTTCTGCTTGGCCGCCGGGAAGAAGGCGGCAAACAGCAGGCTGACGCCGGAGCTCAGCATGGCGATCGTGAGGCCCCGCTTCTCAAAGTCGTCAATCAGCTCCTGGAGCGTGACGTTGCCAATCTCGAACCGGTCCCAGATCTTGTCCAGCGTCACCTTGCCGTTGGGGCCCTTGTACTCGACCTTGGGGCTGGCGATCGGCTCGCTGAACCCAAAGAAGGGCAGCGCCAGGTTGATGAAGCCGTTCTTGTACTGCTCAATGTCCGTCTTGCCGTCGATGATCTTGTACAGCTCCTGCACCACCAGGCCCGTGACCAGCGCCGTAGTCGTCGCGATCGCCGGGATGATCTTGCCGGCGATGAACTTGGTCTTGTGCCGGTCCGCCTGCTCAATCTTGTAGTTCTCGGCGCGCAGGTTGCTGGCCGCCGTGATGAAGTCGATGTGGTAGTTTGTGTCATCGTCCTTCTCAAACTCCACCGGCGTCAGCTTGAACCCGGCCAGCGTCTTGGGATCCGGCAAATCATTGACAAGGTTCTGCAGCTCGGTCTCGTCGTCGAAAGCACCAGCGCCAGCATTCGGGTCCTAAACGGTATTAGCCACCACGCTCATCTCAAACTCGAAAACACACGCATCACTTACAGGGTCCTTGTCGTCAGCCTGGATCTTGACGTTGGAGTCTGGCGAGAAGTCTGGGACAATCATCGCATCCATCGCCTGGATGTAGTCCTGCCTGGTCTTCCCCTTGACATTGATATTGTAGTTGAAGGCGTGCAGGTTGGTCGCCGCCTCAATGAAGGAGAAATGCGTCTTGTTCTCGGGGTCAAACTTGAGCGGGTCTGGTGCCCGCTTGGGGCCCGACCAGAATGGGGTTCCGGTCGACGACACGGCGTCCTTGGGGAAGTTGTAAAGGAGCTGCTGGATCGCATTGTTGTACTGCTTCTCAAACAGCATGCGAGCCCACTGGACGCAGTCCTCAAAGGTGAGGGCGCGCTCGTTCTTCAAAAAGTCGACCAGCATTTCCAGAGTCGCCTTCTCGTTGCCGCCCTGCTTCAGCGTCGTCGCCAGGTAGTTGGGCTGCGTAAGGTAGAGGTTCACCGTCTCGGCCGGCTTCACGAACGAGCTCTCAAACAGCTCGCGCGACCACGCGATCGTGTGCTCGATCCTGTTGGGGAAACTACGGAGTGTGCACATGGGGAACGACTGCTCCGGCGGGTCCTGAGACGACGAGTAGGACTCGGTGAGCATCGGGAGCACCACTTGCGTGTTGCCCTTGGTCCCCAGAGTACCGCTCTCGAGGAGAGGCTTGTGGAAGAAGACGCATCGCCTGTCGACATATGTCCTGGCCTCGACGTTGTCCAGAGCGTTGGTGACGCCATCCAGGCCGTTCCAAAAGTCCTCGTTGAAGATGTGCTCCGTATCAGGGCTGACACGGTCCTTGAGGGTGACGATGTGGCCCGCGAGATCGGGGTTCATGGCCTGCGCCGCCCCCGCTGCGCACTCGCTCTTCATATGGCCCACGTCCTTGGGCCGGAACAGGAACTGTCTATTCAAGTTGCTCTTCTCGATCGAGTCCATGTCGGTCACGGTGATCTGGCCCTTGGGGCCAGTCCCGAGGCCGACCATTGCCCAGTTCTTGAGCATCTCGCAGCCAATTGCTCCGGCGCCAACCAGGAACTGTCTCATATTTGCGATCTTCTCCTGGAACTCGCGGCCGAAAACCGCGATCTGGCCGTCGTAGCGGGAGCCGGTGGGCTTGCACAACTCCTCCGAACGGGTGGATCCTGTCGGGAGCGACTCGAGAGCGTCAAAGTACATGAACTGCTTCACCGGGTGGAACTTGCCCGACACAGCCTTGAGCACCTCCTGAGCAGTGAGACCACCGAAGAATGCCGCCATCGGGTTGAGATCGCCCACTGCCTGGTAGCTGAGCTCCTTCAGCAGCTTCTCGTCGAACTCCACCTCGATGCCTTCAGCCTGCGCAATTTGCTTGGCAGAGTTGATGATGGCGAGCGCATCCTCCTCGTTCATCGGCCTAGGAAGACGGCCGTGAGTCTGGGCGAAAGCGTGTAGCGCTTGGATACCGACGTGGAGTTGTTGGGGCCGGTCGAACTTGGCAAAGTCGGAGATGACGAATTCGGGGTCCTTCATAGCAGCGCTGATGCCCTTGAAGTCGATAAACTTGGGCATCTTGACCTGCTGGTACAGCCCTCCCCGCTTGTAGTGGCCCAGACCAGATA